CTTCTGAAGAGTTGTTCTCATCCAGGGTGGACTGGAATTTCGATCTCGTATCGGTCTTATCAACATCTCCAGGGGGAGTCGAACCGTGACAATGCAGAATGGGAGCCTGACACGTTAACCACTCAGCCACGATTGCCTTTGGGTCACACGGCAAATGTGAATTTGAAGAAAGGTCAGGCTCTTTGCCATATCATATTCTTTGTTGGGATTATCGATGGAGCAAACATTTATTTATCATTACCTTGAACGAAATTGCGTGAATACATCTCATATTAAGATTTTACAATAATTACCTTTATCTGGTAGCGGTCAACCTGCTTTGCATCTATACTGTAATTTAAGTGCATTGCTATCACAGTAATATAACCGGTTTTGAGGTTAACGCTCCATTCTGGTGCGATCCGCAATATGTTTATTTTGAAAATCCAAGGCCCACAACCGGATATCTACAGTTGTATTCGCTTTAGTTCATTCGTTAGCGTTGCCTGTATCTTATTTTTTTAACTACCTAGAACTGAAGTTACGACCATCAAGTCTGCGTTAATAAATGGTTAACTGCTAATACCTTTCAAAGACCAGCGTGAGTTACGAAATAATTTTATTTTAAGGCTTAAATTAAATGTGCCGCTCTCATTTCACTTGATAACTACGACGGCATAATGTTATGCAATTTACTTATTAGCTTCGAAGTCGGATAAGATGTTGGGTTCATGCCTGTATCTGACTGATATCAGAACTCCGGTATACTGTTCTGGTCTCTAACGTCAATTTACGAAGGTATCTAAGGCATGGGCTACATGTGGAACAAACCAATTAGACGCATAAGGGGCGTTTTAGTTTTATATGAAAATAAATCACTAGATTCATATAAAAACGGGACTTTCAGCGGCTATGCAGATCTCTTGTGCTACAAAAATGCACTCAATAGTAATCGATAGCGAAATCAATTTGGATTGCCTCAAGAAATCTTCCTTGGAAATTTCCTATGTTTATCCAACTAAAAGTGTGAGATCTGGCTTGCCAATCAGTTATACCCTATTTATATTGTTCATAATATCATAAGCGAAAATTAGAGTAGTTTGCGAGTAAAAAGGAAAATGTGTCACGTCCGTTGATGGGAACGACTAGGTCGTAGAATAAATATTTTAGATCGTTCAAAAAATGTCTGCTGATGTAGTTCTGTCCATCGTGTTATTTTTCATAATATAAGTGTACGCCTAAGATTCAGATTTAATGTTTTATTAGAAAATATACATATATACAAAAAAAGATATCCAATTAAATTTAAAGTAGAAATAAAAGATATGAAGCACTCAATAAATATTGAAAAAATAGTATTCGAATGAAGAGACTAGGAGCCGATCGAGACAAACATGAAAAACTGCAGAAGACAGGACAGGAACCCTCTTCTATCAAAGTGAGGTCAGTGACAATGCGGACAAAATGACAGATTAGGCAGAAAATTCGTCCTATTGTCATAAGGATAAAGTGTAGAGAAAACATAAGTGCAGAAGTACAAGTTGAGGGACAAAATTGTTAGTGAGACAGAATGTACAGATGGAGCTAGAAGTCTTGCGAAATGTTGAAACTAGGACATATAGTGAAAAAATATTAGTTCGATGAAGATGCATGAAGACGCCTGAAGGAAAAGAAAATGAAAGTATGGGATAAAAACAGCAGTAGCACCGGTGTTTTTGAGTTCGTAGACATGCTGGAAATTACATAAGAAGAGATGAAATAGATGAGAAAGTAAAAAGGAAAGAAAAAGTAATAGACTCGAAAGAGATTAGAGTCAAGATAAAAATATAGGCGTGCAGCGGGATCTCAGGGGAATATGGAGAAAAGCGGCGCCCAAAACTCTTCTGAGCGAGAGTCCCAGTTAACCTCGCTTAGTGGAGCAAAAGATTGTCGTTGCATTTTGATTGGATCACATGCACCTATCGCAGGCCAACGACCAGAAGACAACCCACGCATCGGAATACGGCTCGCTGAGTGACGACTGAGTCGAGAAATAATTGGGTACTCTAATTTCTCCTCCTTGTCACTTTGATGGGCCGTTGCCATTTCAGCTTTATTAATTTCGAGTACCTCTTCAAGATTAGAGGCACCAACTATGTTGTTGTTCGAAGGTAAAAAATCACCTCCACTATAACACTCTCCTTCGGTTCTCAATACATTACCAGCTCCGCTTTTAGATTGAAGAATACGACCCTTTACATCCCGATTTCCGGAATTATCCACTGCCACGGGGACTGGTTTAAGACTTTCTTGGGATTTGTTCACGCCACTCTGCTTAGGATAGCAGAAGCCTCTATCGACAGAACCGCCTAGTTTCGATATTACTAGCTTGACATGAGACATATTTTCTGCAACTGGCACCATGACATCTCTCGTAGGGACAGGGACCGTGCCGATGGGAGAACAATTTTGTATCGGTACAGATATGGAAGGACTGGATAAAAATATACCATCTTCTTTTATATCAACTGGACTTATTTCTGCCGTATCTACTATTGGTTCGGATAAAGCTCCAGAAGGAACAGTCTGGGTTGGAATATCTACTGGTAATCGACTTCCAGAAAGCATGTCCCGATGCCCAGATCTTGAGATACAACCAGTTCCCATGGCGATCAGGTTACTAGATTGGGAAGGAAGACTGGTTGAGAAATGCGTTTGCTGACCAGAGAATGATAATTCTGTGCTGGATAGACTACTCGTACTGTTGCTGAAGCCTTTAGGATGGCTATTCAGACTAATTGCTGAGTTGTAATCAGGAGGAGGCTCAGGGAGATCTAAAAAATAAATAAATAAAAACCTTGTAAGAGATGATTTTGACATAAAGAGCCTGGAAAATCAAAACAACAAAACATGAAGATGCTTAATGCAACCTAGAGCTATTAAGCGAAGAGACAACCTTTCTTAATCGTTAGAATACTAATACTATAATTACATGCAAGATATCAATAATTAGCATAATGAGAATGTTATAAAGATGGGCCATACATCATAATGCAATCATTCACGGAGCAGAATAAAAAAATGCGCCTTCTGAATGCATAAGTTTGTCCTGCTTGGTCTCATTGCTAAAATCTATATTATGATGAAAAGTTGAGGATAGATTGACTGGTTAACTGTGTATAATACCTGCATTATTTGAATACAATGGCTGTCTTTGTATGGCGCATTATCATATAATCTTTGCTTAGCATTGTCCCATCCATTGGTCTTAGAATATGATCTCAATCGAGGACATACAGCTTCCTCTTGCTAAGCTCAGTGGAGCAAATTTACTAAAGCAGGTAAACCTAGCTGAACAATCCTTGATCGAAGAAGT